TTTTTTTAATGCATCTTGATTTAAGAATCTTTAGATATTTTGACTGGAAACAAGAAGACAAAAATTCTAACTGTGAAAGTGACAAAAATGGCATCTCCTTTTATACAGGATCCTGTAGACGAGGAGGCTGCATTCGTAGGGAGGTTTTTATTATTTTTTTGCCATATTCTCATGCATATTTATTTGAGAGGTACCAATTTAAATGGTAGTTTTCTTTAAAACATCAGAGATGCAGAGCACATTATAAGGCTGCTGTATGCAGACCGATAAGGAAAGTGTGCGTCGCTCTCACGGTCTTTCTGAGAATTTTTTCCTGGGCACAAATTCGTCAAAGAGGAGTTTCTCTGGACTGTAGGTCAGTGGTGTCTGCTAATCTGATAAATGACATTCACTTGATAACATCTTGCTGCAACCTCTGGAAGTAATCCACTAATAATTAGAACTTCCTTCAGGATTTCCAGTGTTGTTGGATGCACTGATGATACCCATATTCCCACCATCGCACCTTCTGAAAATGAATCAGAGGATGACAGATGGAAGGGTAGGCCGAGATATATGCCGTAACCACAACCACACCTGCTAAATAAACACAAATTATTCACAATTTATTAGGTCGTCTTTATTTCCTACAAATACAAAAGCAACCGTTATGCTTTTTCCTTTTGGATTTTAAAATTCTTCCAATACTTGACCATCTCCTCTTCATCTGTCAGTGTTGATGCTGCAGGTCCTCCCCCCATTTTGAGAGCCTCTACCATCTTGCTGTCCACTGAGTACAAGTCAGTTGTTAATTTCATTTCTCTAATTAAGAAATGTAACAGGTTGGATTAGAGAATATTTAATTAGCCTATGTGTAAAGAGCGTTAGACTATGTGGAAAAAGCTGCTGTGCATTGAAATAGACACTGAATGATATTTAATGTCAAATGTTTGTAAAGTCATGTTGCCTACACCTTTATTGAATTGTGTTTTTATACTTTTTTTAGCTGCTGCCACATTCTTTTTTTTTCCATGGTGAATCATAATTTCGGAGCTCCATTGATCATGACTTCTCATATGTGCTAAACTCAGAGTCAACCTACTCCGAGTGTATTGAACTAACTCAGTTCATTTGTTCTGAAACCGAAAACTCAGAGTTTCCCATCTCAGGGTATGTCAACTTAGTGTTTAAGTTTCAACATTTGGTTGAACCTCCTTATTGAAACGGGCCCCAGATCGTCTTTTCATATTTGCATAAAGCACAAAATAAACATGAATGAAGATCAGAGCGTATTCAATTTCAATCGCGGAAAGAAGTCAATACACACACTTTATCACGTTTAAGTCCACTGACGTTAATCTACTCTCCTATCTGATTTGATTGTCGGGCAAGATGGCGGATTCAGCATTATGATTGGTCAGATCGCCTGTCAATCAAGCTCTTTGCAAACAGTCAATTATATGGTGTGATAGTATGTCCCAAAGCATGCCTACTCTGCTACTACACACTCAAAAGTGTGTATTTTTTCTTTACCAAAGGTGTACATACTTTAAGGGCATAGTATAAGTAGGCACAATAGGATGCAGCATGAGTTTGGTTTCAGCCTGTTTGTTTTTTCTCCATTTCTGTCACCAATGGAGTTTGTGTTCTTTGCCACTGTCACCAACTAGCTTGCTTAGTTGGCAATATTATTGACTTGACTGCATGATCACATTGGATGAGTCAAGTAACCGTTATTTATATAGTGCTTTATACAATACAGATTGTCACACCAGCTTCACAATGTCAAACAGGAAAACAGTGTGTCAATAATGCAAGAGGATGATAACATTTTTGCAGTTAAAGTCAGTTCATTGATGGTTCAGTGATGTCATCATCCAGTTCAGCTCTCTTCCAATAATGTTTGTGCAATCATTCAAGTGTCCCCAACTAAAGCTGGCCACACACTAGACGATTTTCAAATCTTAACCGATTTTAAAACCATGGGAGACCACAGAGGACTCATCTGGTTCCATTGGTCTTGTCCCGGTGGCCATCTAGGAGACAAGGTCTTCACTAGGGATCTGTCTCTGGGGCTCATCTAGTTGTCCTGGTCTCCGCTGACATTCAGGGCTGTAGAGGTCATCTCTAGGTGCTGATCCACCATCTGGGCTGGATACGGACTGGATCCGGGTTACTGCAGTGACCATCTGATCTGGATACAGACTGGATCTGGTGGCTACGGTGACCTCGGAATAAGAAAGAAACAGACTA